GGGGGGGGGGGGGGGGGGAAGAAATACAGTGGCACACCTTTTTCTTTTCATGGCCTTTATCAATCATTAATTGATTGCACTATATTTGGGATAGAAACTATACCATGCGACTTCCAGCCAATACTATCAACTAATAATTTCTGTTGCTAAGAGATAAAAATCTCTCTACACACCAAGCATTTAAAGTATATGTAAAACCAATTGCTAAGGCTCCATTCACATATAGCGTTTGTGTTTCCCGCGCGGTTTTTCCATGCGGAAGACCAGGCAGCAACGCAAGCGTTAAAATCTTATTTGCAGCTATCCGTCAGAATCCGTCAAAAAACACTTGGACTATGTTGCGGGCCATACGGTTTCTTACCATGCGGCCGCAAACGTCTGAACAATGCACATTAAAGTGCATTGTTTTTCTGTTTAGAACGGCTGAGCACGTATTCGGCCGGCCAAATACACGCGGACAACCTCTCCTGTGTGAATGGAGCCTAAAATCTCAATATTTAGAAAGGTAGTTAAGGTCCCCGTTAAAGGACTACGCTAAGGTCCTTTCAAAATAGGATTTTTGTACTCCTTGTAAAATCCTTTTCTTGGAATACATTATGAGACACAAATTCATACTTTAGTTATCGACCTACAAGAGGATGGAACACTGGCAAATAAAAAAATCTGCAGGCCAGTCCAGACCTCAACCCCTTTAACTACCAGCATGCTTGCTTCTGTAATCATAAGCACAGGAGTGGAACATTGGTCCCTCAATGGACTCCAAGAAAATAATTTTACAGCAAGTACAAAAATTTAATTTTCTCTTTCTCAATATCCTAGAGCTTTGCTAACTCACAGGACTAAAGCTGCTCCTGCCAAGGCTTCCCTGGGAGTTCAGCAGGTTTCTAATTCCGAACTGCACAGTTGGCCAGAGAATCAGGCTAAGAGGACCTAGTCATGTATTCCAGGAGTAGTTGAAAGAGAGAAGACTTAGCTGACCTTTAAGACTTCTTAAAATAAGGCAAGTGGGCCCTCTGTCCTCCAGTGATATCCTTGATTATGTCAAAGGTAGGTCTGAAAAGACATCATCCCTCGAAGACTAAGGTTCAGGTGCTTCTAGAATGCACTGGCTGCACCTTTACCAAGTATAGCTGTATAGACAAGCCTAGATACTTTAATTAGGCCATTACAAATAAAGCATAGGACTCCAGAGATCTAATCCACATGCTTTATCAGGAAAAACCCACAGTGGAGAGATCTCTTCAAGAATTAAGACAATTCTGCCACAGTTTGGCAATTAGGGTCACAGTCAGAATAGGGCAAAGGGCAGGGTTTGCCAGAAAGAACTAAGTTTTATGGAGGGATTCAAGCTGATGGCCAGTAGAATGCCTTAATGTCTGAATGCCCCCTTCTGGGTTTAGTGGTTTCCCTGTTAAGGTGTGTCACTGGCAGATCCACGATTGGTAAAGACCACCGTTTAACAAAATCTCTATAAATGGGAACAAGATCCAATAAGCATTCAGGGGGTGAACAGAACCCATCAAGGTGTTTCCAATCCTCAGAGGTACTGGGGAGGTACACAAGACTGGAGACAGCATGCTCATGCACGACATGCAGAGTATCACTCTTCTACATATAGACCAATTCATAAGGATCTTTTAATACAACAGATGTTACAGGACCAAGATATTTTGCAAAAAAAAGAGCAACATACCCAGGCACGTATAAGATGAGCCATTTTAAACAAAGGGAGGTGATAGAGTGCAGAAACTAAAACACCAAGTACTATGGATTCATAGACTTACAACCTCCTTTCCACAGACTGATATCCACCCTTTTTTAAAAATTGATTTTATATATTGAAATACCTGGTTTGTAAAGAGATTGTTGTAGGTTTATCAGACGGCACATAGAGATATAAAGTATATAGAAATATACAAAGTGGATTCAGCTAGACATAATAGTTAAACATGCTGAATTGATGGCTGCTACTATTGGCTGATACAAATCACATGTAGTAGGCACAGTATTTAAGAGTTGCGGAAACATTTAACTCATACTTGGTAAAAGCCACAATACAGTACATAGCAGTGGTGGACCCGGGGGGGCAACGGGGCCAATTGCCCCCCCGAGATTTGTGCCGCTCCTGTGACTGTCCCGAGTGACGAGTCCCGATCCTTGCGGCTGTGCCACCCGCAGTGTGTGTTGTGTGACACAACTACATAAAGCTTTCACTCTGTGTCACAGACTTTACTGCGGTTCATTGTAAAAAAACATTGTAAAATGAACGGCAGTAAAGTCTGTGGCACGGAGGGACAGCTGTATGTACCGGCGGCTGTGCGTGTGCGGGGATCTTCTGAATGAAACAGGTTATTGGCAGCTGCCTGTCATTGGCAATGACTGATAGCCAGGCGGAGGGGGTGCCGATACACGCCTCTGCAGGCACCCTCTCCTGTGACCTCTCGCCTCCACTGGTCACCAAGGACGCAGATGAAGAGGTGCTGCAGCCTGCATATGTTAGGTAAGGTTGGGGTAGTCTGTGGGTAATAACTAGCTTGGGGGGAAAGGGGAAATTGGGGGACTAGCTGGGCTGGTGGTATTCAGCATTGCTGTATAATGATTATACAGCAATGCTGAATGCCACCAGCCAGGGGCGGACTGACCATCAGGGGACCCGTCACCCCGCCCCTGCTAAATGAACCTCCAGGCCGCAGGTGCAGTAGCTCCCTCCCTCCACCTCTCTCTGCAGCTACAGATGCGGCCTTCTAATCGCGCAGCCGCTCGCTCCTCAAGGGCAGCCCTCTAACATGCCTGATTAAAGGGCCGCATCTGCCTGATCCAGCCAGCCCGAATCGCCTCGGTATGCGAGCGGCTGCGAGCGCTTACCCGTCCTGCACATCGGTGCGGGTGAGCGTACTCATATGCTCGTACGGACGTGCAGGGCGGGTGAGCGTAGGGAGCCGTACTGGCCGTTTTCTGGCAGTGCCCCTCCCGAGAATAGACTCTGGATCCGCCCCTGGTACATAGCCAAAAGCTTGTGCAGTAATAAAACAAAAAGATAAAAGGAAAGAGGTGTACACCCAGATCTTGCATCTGTACACCCAGATAAAAACAAAGATACTGGCAGGTGCTATACCATAAATCTGCCATTTTAATAGATATACTGTAAATATACTTGCAAACACAGATATATTGCATAAAACTGGCCATATGAACCTAGTTTTGCTTATCCATTTTGTAAACTCTTGCATGGCTAGTACCTTTAGGGATTTATTGTGGTGGAAGGTACAGAAACAACCATACACCTTACATATTGCGTATATAACTTTTCTGAATGACATGAAATATAAAGTACAAAGCGAACAAAGGCAGTGACAACGTGTTTTTTTCCGCCCAGAAACTACCGTGTTTCCCCGAAAATAAGACACTGTTATATTTTTTTGGGCTCAAAAAAAACACACACTAGGTCTTATTTTCGGGCTAGGTCTTATTTTTTCTTTTTTTTAAAATGTACAACAATCCCCACTTATTCATGTAGACAAATATGGTGATCAGGGCAATCGGGGTGCCGTACCTTTCCAAGAGCAATTTGCTAACCAATCGCTGGCCAGAATGAGCGAGGCACACTTTCACTATCGATTCCTCACAGGCGGAGTGCATTTGGTATCACTCCACCTGTGACATGAGCCGGCGCTATAGAGGATGCATCGGCCTATGCGGCTCCACGCCCTCCAATACCGCCTCGCTTCCTCTAGCGCTGGCTTCATTGGCACCGCTGATTCTCTCCCGCGGCTCTTCAAGTTTACCCTTATGCCACCACTGGCCCTGGGAATGGTCACAACTAGGTCTTATTTTCGGGGTAGGTCTTAAATTTTAGCAATTCCTCAAAATAGTACTAGGTCTTATTTTCGGGGTAGGTCTTATTTTCGGGGAAACAGGGTAAGTTGAATGGGAAACTGAATTTACCTGTTTAAACATCTGTGAAACACATGCTACAAAAAGGAAAAAAAACAATAGTATCCAAAGTGACTTCCCCTTAGAGAACTCCATGTTAAAAGATGCATAAAAACAGAATATACTTCTAGGGCTGCAGCTAACGATTATTTTCATAATCGATTAGTTGGATATTTAAAAATTGCTGCTTACATAGTACTTCTCGTTAAAACAAGCGTTTTTTCCTCTGGAATGCAAGCAGGCTCAGGGTTTATCATAATTAACCCCATCTGTATTGTGCTGGCAGATCTCATTATCAGTTGGAAACTAGATTTGAACAATGTCTGTCCTAACAAAAGTAATAAAGACCTAGAAGCATTGTATGTTAATGAGCGGAAGCTCAGAGTACCCTTAGTCTTTCTATAGAGACAGACAGATTTTCCTATAACCAATTAATCGTGTTTTATGGACAGTCAGAATTTCCTGTTACTTTGAAATTGTAGATATAAGCTTGCAGTCTGCCCAAAAGTATGCTAAATGAAGTCAACTAAAAGGCAAGAAAAAACTAATTAAATTAGAAATTTATTTTTCTAAAAATTATTTTTTAGGTATATTATGTGAATAGGAACAGACATAGTGGTGTTTTCTCAATGTTAGCTTCAAAAGTGGAAATACACCAAGTTTCGAAACCGGCTGAGGACCGCAAGGAAATGGAGGACTTCATGTGGCTTAAAAAAAAAATACTAATTAAATTTCATATGCCTGGTCTAGGAAGACCAGTTATTCAGTGCAGTCGATACTTACATTCGTTATGTCCACCAGGAGGTCGGTAAAAAGAAAGGCCTAAAGATATTATGGCTGCTACTTCTAGTATAATTAATGTTACATCCTGTAATGCTTCCCATACTAACTGAAGAAACGTTTTTGGCTTTTTAGGAGGTATAATATTTTTTCCAAATACTTCTTGCCTCCTTTCAAGGTCTGCCGGATTTCCACTTAAACCTGTATTACAAAAGAGAAGAGAAGACAATTAGACAACATTTTAAAACCCAGTATCATAAAATTTTACACATTAGGATATACAAATAACAGCACAACGTATTTATATTATTATGAATGATTATATTAACCCCAACAAAAAAAAGGTCATTTATATACAATCTGCAGCAGTAAAGTTTTTTTTTAATAAGGAAATCTATAGGTTTGAAAGAAAAAAAAAAACACAACAAGCTAAAAATTTGTGCTCTTTTGAAAAAGTTCCTAGAAATACCCTTACCGAGAAGATTAACTGGAAATGTCACCAATCTTCCAGGACAGGAACCTAAGAGAAGTAGTAATGAAAAGCCTACCTCAGCCACTAGGTCAGTTGCTAGGTCTTATTGAAGGAAAACCTTCATTACAGAATTTGACCAAGGTAATCCAACTAGACCAAAAAGCAGTTTTACAGAATTGCTCCACTTAACCGGAGGTTGAGGCAGCAGATAGATTAGTGGGAAGCAGGCTTTTTCAGACAAAAGGTGTCCCTGCAATGAAAGAACAGGCAGCAGTACAAAAAAAGCCAACCTAACTTCCCAGGAGCACACTGCACCCCCTGACCACCAAGGTGTTACTGCAAACTAAGTAAACAAAACCTCTGTGGGGTAGGACTCATCCGCTATAGGCCTTTACTTGGAGCCGTAGTCAACACTACTTGGCCATAAACCTCTTCAATCTGGATAGGAGTGATTCCCCCATTCTGGTCCCAGCCCAAGCATTCTAGTCCTGAGGCAACCAGATGTAAATCATCCTGGGCCACCATAAGTGACTTTGCATTATCCCAAACAAAGGCCCTGGCTGACCAACAGCCCCTACGGCTGTTGCTCTCACTAGGCCTGCAAAGACTAGGAGTCCCAGCCATGGCAGAACAAACCACACACCCCTCAGAAGGGAAGAAGGTAGACAGGTCTCACCAGCCAGAGGGCTTCAGAAGTCGAACTCCACACATACACAGGGGCCAAGATTCTGGTGGGGGGGGGAGAGGAGGAGAAAAAAAAAAAAGGGCGACAGGTGACAGAACCTTGGTGAATATCTGAGGAACTGACAACCGGAGAGGGAGTGCTACAAACTGGAAGTGAAACTCCCTCACCACAAAGCAGGGGAAGCGCTGGTGAGAGCAACAGATGGGCACATGAAGATAAACAACCTTGATGTCCCCCATATGAAGGCAGGCCACGAGTGCCAATGCGATTCGAAACCTGCGTACCTTTACAAAAGGTGTTTAAAGCCTTCAGAGTAGGACTAACCCCATCCTTCTTGGCAATTGAACAGATTGGAATAAAAATGCTCGACTCTTTCAGAGGGGGGTACAGGGGCAATCACCCCCTGATAGCGTAAGAACAAGATCTCAGAATGCAGATCTGCCAGACGCTGGGGAGAAAGCAACAGATTGGAAGAAAAAAAAAAAAGCCAACCAAAGCCAGCCATCAATCTGCAAACAGCAGAAGTCATCCCCCCACATTGGGATTCCCCAGTGGGGGTTCACCTTCATGCTGAGAACTTATTCGTGGGCTTGGAGGGTTTGTGCTGGCACGGGCGCCATGCACCTCGTCCAATGGATGGCTTAATGATCTTAATCTTGCCCAAGATCCCTTGACCACGGAAAAGATGCTTGTGAGCAGAAAAGGAACCGACTTCAGACGAACCTCCTTAGCCCTTTCTCACCTGAGGCAGGAAAGTACTCGTAGCAGGGATACATGTAGAGGGGAAAAAAAACAAAAAACACCCACACAACACACACCTGTTTGGTGCCCACAAATGCATGCCCTGGGCGTCAAGCAATAGGAATCCCACACCCCTGCACTCAACCTACCTGTCTGAAGGGTCCCTGAAAGGATTCAATGGGAATAATAGTGGCCTTGTTAAGCCTGGAAATGGGAGGGAGGATCCACTACTGGAGAAGACCATTTCTTCACAAATTACTCTTCAAACAGATACCTAGGCATTTTGGCGGTGCGTTAACATAAAAAGCTGAGCTGGGCGGGACCAATCCATATAAAAAGTAATCTAGGAATGGAATTAGAAGGGAAATCCAAAAGAAAAAACTATTTACGTTTGTGGGTACCAAACAGCACGGCTGAATCCTGGGAAGACGCAGCCGACTCCACAATCTTGTGTCTTTCAGAAAGCTTTGATGAGCTCTGACACCAGCTCCCTTCCTTGTGCTAACTTGCCTCTGGCACTTCATCCTCGCTACCAGGCGAGACCAGATCCACAGGGGGAATAGGGTAAATGACCTCAGACTGTTCCCCACCGGAAACCTCAGAAGAGAAAGCAGGACACTATATTACTGTGATAATGTTTTTTTTATACGGGAAACAAAAAAACATCCATCACCAAATTGAAAGAATCAAACATCATGCCGGTCTGGAAGCGCGCAGAGTTCAAAGAGGCGAGCGAGGCCTGCAGTGCAGGGGAAGCCTTGCAGGCAGAGCAGAGAACACCACAGGAAATATCAAAAAACCCACAATTTGTGTAAGGTGGTGAAGGGGCTCTGTCCTCCACACCCTCAGCCCCCTGGCGAGGAGCGTGCATTTTCGCCACCATAGCGAAGATTGACTGGTGCAGAGGATACCAAATTACCTTGGAACAGTCCAAATCTAACATTTTAGAAATACATCTACTATACAACTGATTTTTGTCAGGCTGCGCTGTTAAGTTGATTGGACTATTAAAAATGTATCTATGCAGACCCTCAGTCATGTTTCACTGGGCACTTCAGAGGGATCAAGCAAATAAAGCACAAATCAGCCTTTCCGTTAGTAAAGTCTGTGCAATTATTTTAATGTGCAACTGTAACCCCTACACCTGCAAGCTTAGCTGGACAACTGAGACAGTTCTGCATATGCAACTGAAATACCAATATAAAGACTGATTTGTTCTCCAGACAGAAAACGAGGACAAGGTCAGGATCAGGTTTTATTCTGTTGGGTGATATTTTAGGGCAGCTAAAAAAAAAAAAAAATGAATGAAGCTGCCCAATTATAATAACCGTTTAAAAATGTGTCTTGCTGCTTCTGTTTAGCATTGATAGCCATCATCACGTGTACCCCATGCTATCTTATATTTGCTAGATACCCTGAAACTGACCAGTGTGATGATTGGTAGTATAAACCACATATAAGCAGTTACAAACCACAAAAAAGTATGTACTGTAATTTTTGCAACACAAAAAACATCAGCCAAAGAAAAACCCCCTGCAGGTATAAAGGGCAGACACGTCTAGGTATCTGCCCCTTATATCAGCAGTTTGTTTTATTTTTTTAATTACATCTTCAATGAGTCTCTTCAATGCGGGTGTGTACGAAAGAAAAATGTTTGTGTAACACCTCAGATGGGAGCTAGTTTTGTCAGACTTGCTCTTCACATTTGGTCTGAAAGCAGCTTTACCGTTTGGATCCTATATGAAGCCCCAAAAAATTGTTTTACAACAGCATTAGGCACGTTTTGGGACGAAACATGATATGTGCAGCTGCCAGCAAATGTTTCGAGATTTTCTCTTTCAACACTATGAAAACAAATGTATTTCAAATTTCCAAATATCCTTCCCTGAACTTGCCTCCATGACATAATAGCTTGTACACATTACAAACTCAGTATGATAGGACTACAAAGCTTCTTTGTTTCCTTGACGCAGCATTTACACGAGTGTAAGGAGCTACGGAGATTGCAACGTTTGTACAGAACTCTATCCTCAAATGTGTTTAGCAATTTCATTCAAACCATCCAACATTTCAATTGTTTACTTGTGAAAATAACCCATACATTTTATTTAAAAAAAAAAAATGACTTCTATTTGTCCTAAATGTAGCGAAGACTCCCTAGACCTTATCTAGAAGGTTATGGCATTTTCCAAAATTGGAACGGTATTGGTCCGATATTAATATTCTCCAAGGTGCTGAGGGCAGATATTCCTAAAGGTGGCCATACACTTTACAACCATCGCAAGATCTTAGTCTTGCGATGGTTGTAAAGTACCGTATATACTCGAGTATAAGCCGAGTTTTTCAGCCCATTTTTTGTGCTGAAAAATGCCCCCCTCGGCTTATACTCGAGTCAGCGTCTCAAGCACTGTGGAAAGTGGTCAGGTGTCTTCTTACTTACCTCGCCGAGCGTCGAGTCACTGCATGTACATGTACTATATACTACATATAGAATGCACTGAACAATAGATTTACAATTATTCTCTGCTAATATGAATGGGTTAAATGATGCGTAGTACATATGTAGCCCTGTACCCCCTTTTCCACTTACAGAGCTAGGTTATTGTTTTTCTTTGAAATAAATATTCATGTAATTTTATTGGTATCTATCTTCATTTTGTACATTTACCAGTAGCTGCCTCATTTCCCACCCTAGGCTTATACTCGAGTCAATATTTGTTCCCAGTTCTTTGTGGTAAAATTAGGTACCTCGGCTTATATTCGGGTCGGCTTATACTCGAGTATATACGGTAATTTAAAAAAACGTACGATCTGCCCATCTTGGACAGGCATGCGCACCGGGGCGGGCTTTCGATGATCGCAAGTACGATCTGCCTGTCCAAGATGGGCAGATCGTACGAGCTTTTAATAAGCTTACGACCATCGCAAGACAAAAGTCTTGCGATGGTCGTAAGGTGTATGGGCACCTTTACTTTGCACTTAGCTTCTTGCAATCTGTGGGGCCCCATTCACACTTGACAAGCCTGAAGGCATGCATTTGCACATTTTTGCCATGTGTTCGCAAAGGGCTGCCCTATGTGCAGCTAAGAAGCTCATGCAGCTTATTGCGCTGCAAGTATTGCATGTTTTTGCACATGTATTGCTTGCTGTGTTGGCAGTTTGGCGCACTATCACTGTCCATATAAACAGGCTGATGGTGCAGAAAGGACACCACTTTATTCCTTGAACTATAAATGGCTTCAACTGTGCTGGGGTGGGAGTAATTTTTAGGCCTAAAATGTGGATAATAAGATGTAAAAGCAA